ATTCGCCCTAAGAATGTATGATTAGACCAGCATAACAGGCACGCTGTACATTTCGCAAAATCTAAATCCTGTAAATTCAATCCTGACTGCCTCCTAATAGTCATTAATTGAGGGTTTGGCCTGGCGATCGGTTGATTTATATGTTCTGCCTTCTTTGTGTACAACGCAAAGTTTTAAGCAGTTCTCGGTTATTGCGTTTCATTATTACTTCTTTCATATACTTATTCCTTTGTCTCGACCAGTATGGAGAAGAAAAATATTGATATGTTTTCATTGGAGTTGGTAATTTTGAGAAAGCGACGAGGGGTAAAGGAATTACAAGCGGACAGAAGCCCTTACCACATTAAAAGTGCCTCCGTAAACCGGAGAGATCTAATGTTTTTGGACTATTGTTGTCACAAAATGTTGGTTGCCTATGTTCGATTGCATTAGAGATGAGTATTCTGCGGCTGCACGAAACGTAGTATCTAGAAATTACTTTAAAATTTTGTTTATCTTTATCTATATGTGCGATAGCATTACGATACATTACTTGCTTAAATAGTCAGCAGTCATACTGTAACGAGATTGAACTGTTTATTTATTCTTATTAATTATTTATTATCAATCTTATTTTTGTTTGTATTATAAATTATGGAAAAACTAGTACATCATACGCGAAGTCTTTATTTTTAGAGCTGTATACAGCTTACAGGTTTTGTTTACTGAAAATAAGAACACGTTCATTTTGAATCAAATATTGACAACTTCTAGTTCATTTACAAAAAAAGTGAACTAAATAGTGGTATTAAACGTAATAGACGTTGCTAAAATTTCGAAAATTGTAGGTAAATGTAACAGAGCTATGATTGGAAGTGTCTGGCTTATAGGATTTAATTGAAAGACCCAAGCACTCATTTTACACAACAATCATTAGAATGAATTAAATTAATGAGGAAACACTTTTACAGTGTGGTGAAGAAATAGGTCCCCTGCTTGATTTTCGCAAATTTTTCTAAATCTATGTTTTCTCGAACTTGGACTTTCACGATTTTGTTCCTTTAGCGTCACGACTTCTATCTTTGCCGCTGAGAACTTAGTAATTTGGATAGAAGAACTTATGGTATCATTTATAGCAACTAGACAGCATATCGAATAGTCCTGTCAAACCTTTTTTTAGCGTTTTCAGAACTTTATGTCAATGTTAACACTATCTTATGCCTGTTATGCCAATGCTATACCCGTATACAGGTGGTTCATTTATACAGTAATAGAAAGGGGTGCGACATTCGTTTTTTAGCAGTAAGCAAGGTTCAGGCTATCTTTTAAAAAATTGTTGAAACCTAAAGATTTGATATAAAGAATTTCCTAACGATCACATAGTTGGCACTTTGAAATCAGCTTGTTATATTATGCTTGTTATATAATAGTTCCTCTTCCGTGCAGCTGGAAACTTTTATTCTTCTCTTTTTCCCCTGTTTTCTTCTAATATCTTGGTAACAGAGATGCCCATATGTGTGGTAAAAGCATGTCTGTTTCCAACGCTCCTTCTGTCACCTATCCTCATGCTCAGTTCAAAATCTACATGTCGATGTTTAAGTTAAGAGGAGAATCGCAAACACGTTTGAAGAGCGACGAGAAGGGAATGGATAGGTGGGCACATACAAATCTTGCGTTATCCATTCCCTTTGACGAGTAGAGGGAAGAGAAAGAGGAGAAGGAGATGAATAAACGGCCAAATATAAATCTTGCGTTACTCTCTTTCTTTTACGATCACGCTCCCCTCCACCCTTTTCCCACCTGTGTCGCAAGTGATACTTGCCCAGGTGCCTTCATCCTTTTTCTACTTGTTATGATAAATTTATTTCTTCTATTTGAGATCTTAAACGAGATTTTGCATAAAAACTAACGTAAATTTGCCGTTACATTCTTTTTTCCATAAGCTTT